CTGGGCGGCAGCAGGGGGGGGGGATTCCCTTCCCCTCGCTGGGCAGGAGATAAGAGCCAAGGGCGGCGTGTCGGCTGCCAGGTCCTGGAAAAGCCGCGTGTGCCCCGGGCGTCCCACACAGCACTGACACACAGGATCCTTCAGGTTGGAAAAGCCCCTCGGGGTCAGCGAGTCCAACCCTCAGCCCCACTCTACAAAGTTCTCCCCTACCCCACATCCCCCAGAGCTCATCCCAACAGCCCTTAAACCCCCCCAGGGATGGGGACTCCCCCCTCCCTGGGCAGCCTGTTCCACTCTCAGACCACTCTTGCTGGGAAACATTTTCTCCTCCTGCCCAGCCTGACCCTCCCCTGTTGCAGTTTCCAGCCGTTCCCTCTTGTCCTGTCACTAATCCCCCGGTCCTCCCGACCTCGCTCAGCTCAGCGGGATGTGACACCCCACGGAGGTGCCCGTCCTTCCCTCGCCTGGGACAACGTGTCCTTCTCCCTGCAATGCTTAAAACAACGTTTCACACCCCCACGGGTGAGGCTGGTTCGAGGGCAGGAAATTCCCACTTCCCCAGTGCTTGGAAATCCCCCTCCGACACCTCCTCCTCCTCCTCCCCAGGCAGGTCCCTCCTTGGGGCCTCCCAGACTCTGTCCTCAGCCCCAGCAACTTTACACCAGCCAGACAAGAGCAAAACCCACGTTAGGGCTTGGCCCTTCCTGAGCCCTCGGCCCCACCAGCACAAGGACAAGGGAAATGATGGATTTCCTCCAGGCCCAACCCAGCTCCTCACACCCTGAAGGACCAAGAGCCGCCCGTGCTGCTCCCGGCCCCCGAGGAGGCTGCGCCAGCCCCCCAGAAGTGCTCTCACCCTCGCTCCCCTCCTAAACTGGGGGAAAGCTGCTGCGATTCCCACAGGGCCAGCCCCTCCATCCCAGCCAGGGCAGGACCCAGCCACCCACAGCAGGAGCTCAAGGACTCCCCAGATGCCCCAGCCCCTCCGCCCCATCCTTCCACCCACAGCCCCAGCCCCGATTATCCTTATTTAAGGCTAATGCCCAACACCTGACCAGCTTATTCTCCTGAGTCTATTATCAGCTTAAGGCCCAAAGACATCTGCTCCCCACCACCCTGACAGAGTCTTCAAGCCTGGGGCAAGAGAGCAAAGGTTCAGTCGACGGCATCTCCTCTCAGCTGCATCTCTGAAGGTCCCCACCGCTGAGAGGGGCAGCGCCTCATCCCCAGAGGTAAGTGGCTTTGCTCCCTCCAGGTACAAATGGCATCGTGGGGTCCAGCCGGTTTGGGAGCCTCCACTCCGCGGCTGTGCCACAGATTTTGACTCCTCATGCTCTGCCACGAGCATCTCCCGGGGTGTCGACGGGGAGAGAGGGGCACCAGGCACGCACGCCACTGCAGAAAACCAGCAGTGTCTGGGACACAAAAGCTTGACACCTTCCAAAGCAGGGCCAAGGCATGTTTTGGCTGAATCACATTGACTTTATTTATTTAAAAGGTTGTGGCTATGCTTTCAAACCCAAGTTTTAACACGGGAACAGATCTCAGCAGCACAAGCCAGCTGTGTGGGAATCTCACCTAACCCTTGGATGGGCTTTTGTGAAAAAAGAGCTGGGCTTTTCCAACCCACACAGCCTCAAAAAACTTCCAGTCACAGCAAGCAACGCCTCTGCGTGCAAATAGGCAAGGTGACAGCAGTGAAGGGGCCATAACCCATGTTATCACTCACCTGGGGAGAAAGCACAAGGAGGGGAGAGAAGAAAAAAAAGGAGAAAAGATACTTAATTCCTCAGAAAACCTGCATCTTGCCCAGGCACAGGACACTGATGAGGAAGGTCTAGTTTGCAGGGTTCTCCCCTGAGGCTCTGACAGCTCCAAGGCAGCAGCTTTTCTCCCGGCTCAGCCAGCCCCACTCAACTGGCCACTCGTGGCTTGGGGAAACAGCCTCTGTGGTAGCCAAGTCCCCTTTAAAAACCAGGCTGGATCCTCTTCCACTGCCCCCAAACGGCATCTGCCGCGCGATGTGCCTGCTGAGAACAAGCAAACGAAAATCTGGGTACAGCAGATGTTGCAAGAAGGGTTTTTGAGAGGTGCCTTTTTTTTTTTTTTTTTTTTTAGCACCAGCCCATCTCTCACCGTGGGGGTAGCTGAGACATTAGTGCCGTTTTTGCAGCTCTGTCAGGGCCAAAGCAACAGTCCTAATGTGTCTTAGAAGCCCAGCTCTACATTAATAACGAGCCGTTTCCCCACGGTTACAGGGCAGAATGGCTCAGGACATGACAGAGAAGGAGCTGCTGAAGATGGAGCTGGATCAGCTGAAGAAGGAGGTGAAGAACGAGAGGCAAATGGTGAGTCTTCCACCCAAAACACAAAAGGGCTGTTCCCTGGGATAACTTTTGGACCTGATCATGCTGCAAAGAACCACAACCCCTGAAATTAAAGCCTCAAACACAGGCAGAAGCAGGTGCACTCGCACCTCTCCCCTCAAGGCAAACATCCCCCTCAGGCTCAGCCTCATGTCCCAGAGCCAGGGGGCTGCAGCCCCACACCCAGCGAGGTGCCTGTAGCACCCTGGGGCTGCTGGGTGGGGTGTTCGTGGCCACAGTTCCCCTCTCCGGGCTGTTCAAACGGGTTTGTAGGGAGCTGACGAGCGGGAGCGCAGCTCTGCGGTGAGGATTCCATCCCATAACCAACACAGAGCGTCTCCTTCCCCGGCAGGTCTCCAAGACTGGCAAAGAGATCAAGGAGTACATCGAGTCCATGGCGGGCGAGGACCCGCTGCTGAAAGGAGTCCCCGAGGACAAGAACCCCTTTAAGGAGAAGGGTGGCTGTACAATAAGCTGATCGCCCCCGCGGCTGTCGCTGCCGGGCACGGGGATGTTCCCGTGTGGAAGCCGAGACTGTCAAAAATCTGCTTTCCCTGTAGTCTGACTTCAGCACTGGGGAGTCCTGAACCAAAGCGTAGCACAGCTAAACTATGACAAAAGGAGAAAAAAGAAAAAAAAAATAAATTACCCCACTGCCACCGGAGATGAGGTTCAGCAGCCAGCACAGTGTGTGCTTTTGGGCTCTCATGGCTGATCTACGTTTGATTTCCTGCAAGCAAAGCTTCTGCATTTTTAGCAGCCAGCAGCAAACTGGGCTTTAATGAAACCGCAGAACTGTGTCTGGTCTCACACTTCTCCAAGCAGCCCAGCGCCGAGCCAAGCCCCCCCCTTGCTGCAGAAAAGCCTCCCAGCAGCACTTTGCTCAAGTCGGTCCCTCTCGGTGCCTCAGTTTCCCCATCTGGCAGAGGAAAGCAATACTCACCACGTTGTTTTGGGACTTCCAGGGGTCTGAAGCTTTATTCGCTCCTACTCTGTTGATCACCGCTCGCACCCACCAGGCAGCTGGCAGGGAGCAGGGCTGGGTGGGCTTCCCCCAACGCCGGGTAGAGCACAGGCAGGAGCGAGGCCCCAGGCAGCTTGTTCAAACCCTCACCCCACCTCTCAGTCTCGCTTCCTCCACCCCTGGAAACCCCCTGGCAGCCGTGGGAAAGCAAGCCCAGGGCTGTCAGGTCCTGCCTGTGACCCTGGTGACTCTGAGCACTTGCCTCTGCTTCCCCCCCAGCTCCCCTCTGCTGCTGCCAGCGGGCCCCGTGCGGGCAGAGGGGCTGCACGTCGCGGCCCGCCGTGTCCCGTCAGGGATGGGGATGACTTGGGACAGGCAGTTGGGAGGGGGGGTGTGCAGCTCCTTGGAGCAAGACAGGACTCGCCAAGCCCTAAGCTAGCAATGCCAGGCCCTAAACCTCCTGTTCCCCAAGGCAGCTCTTTTCTAGGACAAATTTCACCCTCTGCTCGGTAGAAAAAAGCCACATCAGCTGGGGCACAGCCAGCTTCCGAGGTCAGCAGGGTACTTTGGGGAAGATTTGTGGGGTTTGTTTTTTTGTGGTGTTGAGATTCTTTTGTTCTTGTTTGTTTGTTGTTTTTTTTTAAATCCATCACAGCTACATATTCTTTGGGGAAAAACTCTCCAAACTTCCCCAATCAATATCAAACAGAAGCAGCAGCTCTTTTTTCTTTCTCAGAGTCCCTCAGGTCCCTGCTGCAGGCTGTCCCCATCCCACTTCTGCTTCGTGCCAGCCCACCTCTGACACGGCAGCAGCTCTCGGGCCCACGGTGAAACGCTCCCCTGGGGTCAGCTCGGAGGTTACACACGTCCCAGGGCACATTTACACACAGAGTAAGACGACAGCCACAAACTCAAGGCAGAAACAAACCTCTTCCCCCCCCAGAGTGTTTGGGAAGAGACGATGGTGCAGCAGGTACTCGCTGCGGGTTGGGAAGGGTGTGGGGTTTGCTGGGGCTCCAGGAGCACGTGGAGATAGGCCTGGGACTAGTTTCAACATGGCACTCGCAAGGGAATTGCTTTTGACCCCACTTGGAGCAGCGTTTTCCTACCTGCTGGTCTCATGGATGGGCTGGCCCAGCTCAGCCCAGTGTCCATGGGACTGGGGGGGCCCCTCGGCACTTCAGCTCCAGAGACACCCCAAGGTCGGGGGTTCCCTGGCACAGGACTGACACAAGGAAGAGGCTTTTCCTCAGGCAGGGGGTCTCCATCACTCCTTGCAGCCAGTACCTTCGCTCCGTGTCCTTCTCTAGCCTGAAAAAAAAAAAAAAAAAAAGACAAAAATAAAGGTGGTGGTGGTTTTGCTCTTTCCTGCAGATGTTAAATAAACCCACCAGCTCGACCATTGCCTCTGTTTTTCTTGCGGCGGCGAGGGGCAGGGTTTTGAGGCCGCTGGCTCAGCCTGGGCCTGGCTCTTAAACCAAAGCGGAGCAGAACAGCTCGGTCTAACTAAACCAGGGTGATAACCCCGCCGGGTTCCTGGTGCTCAGCAGGGATTGACCCGGTAATCGACGTTAAACGGCTGGAAACCCGCGTCAGAGCCGGCTAAACCACTGCTGAAGGGATTTAGGGCGACTCCGGCCTAACGGCGGCTTAAGCCAAGCCCAGACCTTTAGGACCGGTTGCCCGGCCGCGAACCCGCGACCAAGCGTCGTCGCTTCATTATAACGCGTTGGGAGGCGGGGCGGAGCGCGCTTGCAGCCAATAGAAACGCGGTTAGGCGAGAATGTCAGCCAGCGCACCCAATCAGCGCTGGGAAGAGGGAGAAGGGGGGGGGACACTTGCCGGCGCATGCGTAGTGCCGGCGCCCCCCGCACAAAATGGAGCCCGGCGGGAGGCGGTGTTAAAACTCACCCCCCCCCAAGCTTCCCCCTCCCCGTTTCGTAGCCGCCCCCCTCCGCATTCCCGAAAGCGTCGGCGAAAAGTTTTTTAACAACAAAAAAATAAAAATAAAAATAAAAACACACGAACGGGGGAAAGAAAATAGGCCGCGAGGTCCCACCGAGATTTGAACTCGGATCGCTGGATTCAAAGTCCAGAGTGCTAACCATTACACCATGG